TAAGGTATGACCTTAGCCAAGTCATTCCATTTCATTCTACCTCAGTTTCCTAAATTTTAAAAATAGGAATAGTGATGGCATGTGTTATAGTGGAGAGAGCATGAATCCTGCAATCAGAAAAAACTAATTTCAGGTTCTGGTGAACTTTGGTTAATCAGTTGACATTTTAAGCATCAGTTTTCTTACCCATAAAATGAGAAATTTGGACTATGTGATATTACTCAGTGGTATAGTGAGATATTGGACCTATGATTCCATTGACACTTGGAATTCTATAATGCAGAAATTCTACCTCCTAACACAGGTCAGCATCTCTTCTCTACTTAGAAAGTTATCTGTGGCATTGAGAGGTTCCTTGACATGTTCAGGGTCACTTACCCTGTATGTTTCAGAGGTGGGATTTAAAACTCAGGTCTTCCTGACTCTAGGGTTTTTACACTGTATCCACCATTTGCTTCTCACAATATTGCTAATATTTCAAATAATTTTAAAAGATACAATAAACTCCTGAATTTTAGATGAGCAATAATAAAATTACAGTTTTAAGATAAAATTTTAAACAATACAACATCTTTGCCTCAAATTGTTAAAAGTCTCTATACAATTTAGACGGGCAATGTAGTTTGGTGTAAAGATCCCTAGACTTCAAATCAAAACACATAGGTTTGAGCTCTACTCCCAAGGTCAAATCATGGGATTCTGAGGAAGTGACTCTGTCTTGCTGAGCCTCAGTTTCCTCATCATTAAATTGAGTACATTAATACTATTACTATCTATCTTCCCAGATTGATATTGTGAACCAACCAGGGGTCTCCCCAAACCAGTTGGAACACTCTCACCTGAGAAAGGCCTAACACCTGGATTGGCCGCTCAGGAGAAAGATATTTTTGGCCCACTCAGAGCTTAACCTACCATAATGCTTCGTGTGCTCTGGCATAACAGATATGCTTTGCTCTGCTCTCTGAGTGAACCCAAAATGCCACTTCCTGTGTCAGCAGCAGCAAGGCCAGATGAAGCTGACAAGGAACATTCTTCTGCTTATGACTGCCAAGGACAAAGTGCCTTGAACTGGACACTATCTTGAGTCATGGGACTTTTCTTATCTTGGTGTTTTATGGACACATGTCATGTCATGTCATGTCATGTCGTATTATGTCACTTATTGTATTTACAATTTAACCTATTAAGAAAATTCCTTTCTCATTGTATGGTTAACACATATAGAGACTATAATTTTGACTGACACAGGCATCCTGAGTCAGGGGGAGGGAAAAGGAAACGCTTTCTTGCTCTATTGATATATAATCAGTGTGGCCAGACCCCAAAGTGGGCTCATTTTTACAATAAACTCCCATGCATATCTCTACATGCATGATCCACCAGCTTGGAGATAAATAAACATGCACATGCAGCCTAATTTTTTTGTCCTTCCTAAAAAAAACTCTTTTTAAAGGTTGACAATATCAAGTGCTTGATAAACTTTTAAACAATTTATAAATGAATGGTATTATTTATTTATTTATTTATGTGTGATTAAATAATTGATTGATTTTTTTTAGGCAATTGGGGTTAAATGACTTGCCCAGGGTCACACAGCTAGTAAGTGTCAAGTGTTTGGTGTAAGGCCCCATTTGAACCCAGGTCCTCCTGACTTCAGGGCTGGTGCTCTATCCACTGCGCCCCCTAGCTGCCCAAAATGGTATTATTTTTCAAGAGGCAGTGATTATGCTCCAAAATCAGGAGGACCTGGTCCATTGACATACAATGGCTATGTGATCTAGAGGCAAGTCCCTTAATTTTTCAATGCTCTCAACAACCCTAACAGTGTAAGTTGCAGAAATGCTGCCAAGCTAGATTGATAGAGGGAGTTTCTTCACTTGAGAGTTCCTGATACCAGTGGGATCACAGACCTAGTTCCTAACCCTGTCCTACCATCTCACAAATTGTCTGAGATTGACAGAAGACAGATAACATCATGACTATTTGTAAAATAATAATAATAATTTACAAATAAATTTGTAAAAGTGATACCTTTTACCAAATGATTTCGTAGTGCTTCAATCTAGAGCAACTTTCCAAGATGGCCTAAATGATTAACTTTATCTTGGGAATTCTCTGTGCAGCATTTTTTCACAAAGGTGAGCTTCTTCCTCACATATATGGGAGTGCATAACAAAGCAGCAATCAGGAATTTTTATGAAGCAAGTGTACAAAAAGTGTGCAGAGTTAAGGGTGCTGGAGCAAAGTAAGGGGTATACAATGGTGCTGGGTTACTGACATAAGGCTGAAGAGGAAAGGGATGGGCAAGCTATGGAGGAGGAAGTCAATCTAAATGACATTTGGTAGTTTCCTATTTTAACTAATTATTCTTGCTATGAAGATTCTAAATTCTTTTTCCCCCTAGGTGCTGAAGAAATGCAAATGTTGTTAGCATCCTCTAAATTTGGCTCCCTAAAATGAAGCCCTGATTTTTCCACACTAGTTATCTCTCTGGTGTATATGATGTTAAGGCAGCTAGGTGGTGCAGTAGATAGAGTGCTAGGCCTGGAGTCAGGAAGACATGAATTGAAATCAGGACACTTATTAGCTATGTAACCCCAGGCAAGTCACCTAACCCTGTGTGCCTCAGTTTCCTCTTCTGTAAAAATGAGCTGAAGAAGGAAACTGCAAACCACTCCAGTATCTTTGCCAAGAAAACCCCAAATGGGGATGTGAAGAGTTGGACACAACTGAAATGACTCAACAGTAACAGTATATGATGTCCCTGGTGACTTTTTTTTTTTTTGTCTATGTGTGGTTGTTTCACCTGATTGAGAATCATACCTAAGACATTACACAGAATTACACTTCAGAATTACTATGGATATTAAGGATTATTTGGTCCAACCTCTTCATTTTACAAATGAAGAAATGAGTCCCAGAGCAGGGAGGTGACAAGATCATCCCAGTGACACAGTTAAGGGTAGGACTAGAGCCCAAGTCTTCCGATTCTGCATTCCCTCGGAGTGTGATGTGCTACTGAGTATGATGTTCAGGCTCTTTGATTTAGCTATCTCAGTATTTTTTTTTCCTTAGGCAATTGGGGTTAAGTGACTTGCCCAGGGTCACACAGCTAGTAAGTGTCAAGTGTTTGGTCTGAGGTCAGATTTGAACTCAAGTCCTCCTGACTTCAGGGCCGGTGCTCTATCCACTGCGCCACCTAGCTGCCCCAGCTATCTCAGTATTAAGGGGCAAACATTTTACCCATATGATATAAATGGTAAGTAAAGAAATAGTAACAACAAAAATGACAACTTCCTAGCCCACAATCATCTATCTTAATGCGACTTTGAAGTTTCAGTCTCATGTATATATGCATCAGAATCAAATTTAGAAGGTGTAGGCTGTAGGGGACAGCCCACTGAGACAAAATATTGGCCTATCACCTTGCAGGTGCTTAATAAGTGTTGGGTGAATTTACTTGAATTGCTTTACAAGCCTTATAGAGCATATCAGCAAAATTATTTGCCAAAGTTCATTGCTTGTATGTTTTTATTTTTATTTTTGAAGAACTTATTTTTTTTATCTGATAGGGTGAGGATGGAGCAATCTAGTTTAAACTACATTAAACTAGTTTAAACTTAAAAGTTTAAGTAGGATGCCTCCAACTATCTAATTGAAATTTAAAAATTAAACTACAAAATCAAAAACCCTGCTTAAAAAAAATTCTTCTACCTTTTCATTTTTACTGCTTCTGTTTGCTTCTAGCTTAGTCTCAACCTTCAGAAACTGGCCTCTGTTTCTCTTACGCTTCTATTTCTCTCATGATAACTTCATTGGAGGAGGTTTGAATAGTCTGGAAATATGACTACACTTTTATTATTTTCTGGTTATCTTTCAGGGATTCCATTCTACAACCACATTTTCTAGGTCTGACTCTTAGTAACCACCCTGGGGCTAGGTCCTCTTTTCTTTGGGACAGGGTAAACCACAAGTATGGAGAGTACTACAGTGATGCAAGATGAATTAGTTGAAACTGTGGAAGTAAAATACATCCCTGAGAGAGAAACATAATATTTGGTTTCCTAAAAACACTTAATATGCTTAATATGTTCTTAATGTAGAGACATTACCTCCTTCCAATGGGTATACACAATAAATACCTTTTGTTTTTTCCCTCTCCCCCTCCTCCTTCCCTCTTCTTTCCTCCTTGCCCTCTCCTTCCCCCATGTTTCTCTCTCTGTCTCTCTCTCTCTGTCTCTCTCTCTCTTTCTGTTTCTGTCTCTCTGTCTCTGTCTCTGTCTCAACTTGAACAGAATCAGCTTTTGGATAGAATCCCTTGTAAAGCTTCCAAGCATCTACAAATGTCAGATGTTCAAGAATACAATGCAGCTCATTTTAACTTTCTTCAAGTTTAATGCAGACATTTTATGTACAACAATTCTGGGCATTTTTATTATTTGTAGAAAAAGTGAACTTAAACTTTAAATATCAAGTTCAATGCTATCATTTAGGATTGGTAAATTTTAACCTAAAAACAAAAGTTGATAAGCAACTTCTCATTTTGAAAATGATCGATACAGAGTAATGAAATTACAATAAAAGAAAATAATGAACAGAAAGTATACTCATATACTCATATACACATATACTCAATCAAATTCCTTTTTAAATTACATACCCAATAGCTACCTTTGAATTTTCTATCATATATAGAAAAAGAAAATTTATTCTTATGTACTACAAATAGAGAATCTAATCACATTGGTCTTCCCAGTAAAACTTAACTTATCACCAGTATTTCCATTGGGCTAAAATTACATTGGAAATGAAAAGGTTACATCTTCTATCCTTATCTTCAAAGGAAGAAATTGAATCCTTCTGTTTAATATGAATTAGCAATGGTATGTCCCTTCACTGATGGTCATGACAATTTATTACGTCTGTCAGTTTACTAGCTTCTACAATAAAAAAATGTGAAAGTAGAGTTTTTAAACAGAAATAAAAAGGTTGTCACTTACCAGTGATTTTTAGAGCAAGATGAAGCACCTGTTCTATCGTTAGGAAGATCTAAGGTCTGTATATTTAAGGATCTGAATGGAACAATATATATACACACACACACACACACATATGTGTAAAGCACACCTTTTCCTGTTGTGGCATATTCTGGTTATACAAGGTTGTGTAATTAATTTTAAGTCAACATGGCCTTAAAACAGAATTTGTCATGCCATTTCTGGAAACTGTATCAAATTACAGTGTAAGTTGTCTGACAAGGTTCCAACCATTGTTTGAATGCTTCAGATTGTACATTGTACCTATTTTATATTTGGGACAAATTAATTTTTGTCATAGATCAGTCTCAACTCTTCTGTTTTTTTTTTTCCACCATTGCATCAGAACAGGATTTGTAAGACCATTTCTACAGTTGTAAAACGAAATATATGATTTTTCCAGTGTTTCAAAACCAAGATTTTTTTACATATGAAAAAGATCTATGATTTCATCAGCATAAAGAACTCTGAGCAACTCCCTCTATCAATATAGATCATTTAATATCTAAATCTTTAGGAGTTATTTGTGGGTAGATAGTGGTTAAGTGACTTATCTAAGGTTATCCAGCCAATTGGTATTAGAGACAGGATTTGAACCCATGACTTTGATTCTAAGCCTGGCACTCTAGCAATCAAACCACACTATCCCCTATGTAGAAATAGTAAATTATTTGAAAAAGAATTAACTATACTTTCTAGTTTTGTGGGAAATATTCCAATATCCCTTTGTTGAGAATATCAAATTAGCTTTATCATTTGTGTATATAATTCACACAGACATGACTAAATTTGCTTAGCCAAATTACTCATAGTCCCATCCATTCAAAGCTAGAAGGGACCATTTAGTCCAACAATTTCATTTTACAGAAGAGGAAACTGAGTCACAGAGTACTCAAGCAATTTCCCAGGGTTATGCTGCTGGTATTTGTCTGAGGTGGTAATCAAATTCAGGTTTTGCTGATTACAAGTCTGGTTCTCTTCCATACAACATTATATCTGATATTTTGCTGATGCTAAGTATTATATCATGTAGGTACTATAAAACTAGTCAGTCAACAAGCATTTAAGCACTTACTATTTGCCAGGGACTGTTGAAAGTACTAGTAATATACATACATACATACATACATATATACCCATATATATCACATTTCTATATAACATATGAATATATAATATATTTATATTACATATGTAAGATTTGGATTGAATAAATGGAATTGATTTAGTTTAATTAAATGATCATTTGATTTCTTTAGTGAGTGCCCTCTCTGATACCTCAATTGCCTTGTTTGTAAATTAAGTGTCTTAATTAGATTATCTTTGAGGTCTCTCTACAAGCTCTGGAACCCATAATCTTATGAACTGATTTAGCTTCAATGATAATCAATAAATCTAAATTTTGAAGAAATACCTTAAAAATGAAGGAATGTGAGGGCATCATAGTAATCACAGCAGATTATCTCATTAACAATAAATCTCTAGATAGTTATAATCACATCTGAATTGTGTATAATGCTCTAGGGACCAATAAGCTACTTTGACTCCTTTTCATATTCACTATCATCTTTCTACATATGGTAAGTCATAACAAATTGTTGGAAGTATATAGTTCTGACAATAGACATGATAAAAATCAACAATTATAAATTTAGAGTTTGAAGGGAACTTAGAGGTCTCTGAGTTCAACACCTTAATTTTACAGATGTGAAAACAGAGGCTCAGAATGGCAAGGTGACTTGGATAGATTGATACAGCTAGTAAATGTTGAGGCAGAGGAAGAACTAAAAATCATGTCTTTCCAACTTCAAATCCAGCAATCTATCCACTAGAACAAATCCTGAACACTTAGGCATAAAGGCTTTAATTATACCCATGCATATATGTGCACATGAAGAGAAGTCTTCTAATTTTGATCATATAAATTTAATAATAGATTTTGTTTAAAAGTTCACTTTAAGTCAGTTTTTGTGAAACTCATTTTCCCATACCACACTTTTCCATAGAAATATTATGAATGATCCTTGGGTATCCAAAATATCCTACATAAGTCTATTTTCTATATAATGTTGCTGATGAAATATAATGTAGGCTAAAGAGGCAACACAGTGTAGTCAATAGAGGGCTGGCCTTGAGGACAAGAAGAACAGGATTCAAGTCTTGGCTCTGACACATTCTGGCTGTGTTAACCTTGGCCAGTCAATTCAACTCTCTGTGCCTCAGTTTCCTCATCTGTAATATGAGAGGGTTGAATTCAATGGTCCTTTTCAGCTCTAAAACTATACTTCCGTAAATCCAACCAACTTATCAACTGAATCCCATGTTTTATGTAGTGTTCCCCACCCCCAGATCCTTATCTTTTCAAAGAAAAGAGGGAAGTAGATTAACATATTTCTTCTTTAGAGCCAAATCCTGTCATTATTATGCCACAACATTCAGCATTGATTATTTTGTTGTTTTTCTTCCTCATTCATGCTTGAAGCTCCACAAAAATACAGCATCAGTCCCTGACTTTAAGGAGCCTACATTCTAATTTGGGAAGACAGTATATAAAGGGGAACTAAAACAAGAGGGAGTGGGGGAGAAATTGAAGACAGAATGTGTGGAGACATCCAGAAAGTGAGGTGGAGAACTAGAATTAGGATGAGATTAGATCAGGGGGTCTTAACCTGGGGTCCACAGATATCTTAGGAATCTATGGCTACAACAATTCTAAGTAGTCTGTAGCTAGATTTCAGAAAGTGTGTCAACATTAACAGGACAGATATTGTATCTATTTCTTGATTTAGATAACAAATTCATAGAGCAATGGCAATAATTATGTCTTCCTCTTTGTACAGTGATTAGCACCACATCATCATACAGGAAATCAGGCATTTAATAATTGTTTTAACTGATCGTGCATTTCGGCCTGTTTTTAGATTCCCAGTTTGGGCTGTGGTCTTTCACTGAAAAACAAACAAATCAACACAATAAAATAAAACACAAAGAATTAACAAGGGACAGTTAGATGGGGCAGTGAATAGAACACTGGGCTTGGAATCAGGAATACTCATCTTTATAAGTTCAAATCTGGCCTCAGACATTTATTAACTGTGTGACCCTGGACAAGTTACTTAACTCAGTTTGCCTCATTTCCTCATCTGTAGAATAAGCTGGAGAAGGAAATGGCAAACCACTCCAGTATCTTTGCCAAGAAAACCCCAAAATGGGGCCGTGAAGAGCTGGACACAACTGAACACACACGACACGAGTTAATAAAAGCGAGAAAGAAGCACAACTTATTTCAAATATTGACTTATCATGCAATCAACAAATTTTTAAGTATAGAGGAAAGTTAGGAATTCTCTAGACCAATACCCTTTGTTTGTAAGAAGTAGTAATGGAGGTCCAGAGAGAGGAAATCACTTGCCAGAGTCAGTATATGAGAAGATTGGTTTTGGAGTCAGAGAAATTGTGTTTGAATACTAGCTCTGCTACTTAACCTCTATCACTGGGCCAATCCCCTCTAGCTGTTGTTTGTTGTTATTGTTGTTTTCATTTTCCAAATGAAGATGTTAGAATAGATTTCTTCTAAGGTCCCTTTTAGTTCTGCATCTCTTATTTACTGTCTTTGTGACCTTGGGATATTTGTTTAACTGTTTTGTCAGTCATTAAGCATTTACTATGTGTCATACTTTATGCTAAATGTTGTGGATGCAAAGAATGCTGAAAAATAGTCTCTGATCTCGTGGTGTTTACACTCTAATAAGGGAGACAATGTAGAAACAACTAGGTACATATGAGTTATATACAGAGTAGATGGTAGGTGATTTTAGGATGTATGGCACTAGAAGCTGGGGGACCCAGAAAGGCCTCCTTTAGAACATGGGGTTTTTGCTAAGTTTTGAAAAAAAACCAGGAAATTAAGAGGCAGAAGTATGAAAAAGCAAGCCAGGCATATAAGCCAATCAGTTGAAAAGCATGGAGGTGAGAAATATTTGATTTCAGATATTTAGTGAGTCCCCTCTCTGATATCTCAGTTGCCTTGTCTGTAAAATATGGTGTTTTAACTCAATTATCTCTAAGATGTCTACTGACTCTAGAACCCATGATCCTATGATCTGATGAAGCTTCTATGACAATCAATGTTTCTAAATTGTGAAGAAATTCTTTGAAAATGAAGGAACATAAGGGCATCATGAAATCAAGCTCAAGGAAATGCAATTTGTCCAATGTTGGCGGATCATAATGTGTAAGAAGACTAGAAAATTAGGAAGGAACCAGATTATAAGGAGTTTTCAATGTCAAATACAGAGATGACTTGATATTTGATTGTGAAGTAATAGAAGTCCATTGTAGTTTATTGAGTTGGGGGTGGGGCATGCAACTAGATTTGTATTTCAGGAAGATTTTGGTGGCAGCTGAATAGAGGACAAATTTGAGTGGGGAGCATCTTGAGGCAGGAAGATCAATTGGAATGCTATTACAGCAATTCAGAAAAGAAGTGATGACAGTCTGCACTTGGGTTGTGGATACATGAATCACGAGAAAGGGAAATATAGAAGAGATTCTGTGAAGGTGAAGAGGGCACACTTCATTTACCAATTTGATGTGTGGGGTAAGGACAAGTGAGGACCTAAGGATGACACCAAGATTGTGAGCCTGTGTCACTGGGAAGGAAATTGGGAAATGATGCTAAATTCTACTTTGGATATCATATGTTTGAGATGACCACAGAATCAATCAGTTAGAGAAATCCAAAATGTAGTCAGTGATGTAATATTAGAGCTCAAAAGAGAGGATAGGGCTAGATATATAGACTTTGGGAATCACCTGCATAGGGATGATCACTGAACCCATGGGAACTGATTAGATAACCTATTAAGATGATATAGAACAGGAATGCTTAAGTTGAGGACTACAAAAATAAATTGATAATGTCAATACAATCAGTTTCCTCTGTAGTCCTATGTACTTTACTTTATACATTTTAAAACATTATTCTGAGAAGGTTCCTATGTGCTTCACAAGAATACCAAACGGGTCTATGATGTGAAAAAAAAATAAAAATATAAGCTTAAGATCCTGTGATATAGGCCAAAAGAAGGAAAAGCC